CAACCAACCAACCAACCAATCATGTACTAGACATGCTCTTTTCGAAAGAACAATAAGATCTGCTGTAATCCTTAGAACGATAGTTATGATTACTACCCTTACTAAAGTGTCCTTTATATAGTAACACTGGCTGCTAGTAGATTTTCTTGTCGAGCAGTTGACAATACTAGACACAGTATATAATACTGGCATTTGGAACATTAATGTTAGGGCTCACTTCTCTAATATTGACTATTGCATTTAGATGAAAATGAAGACTATTATATTTATAATTGAGATTTTGAAAGATCTTCCGTATTTTAAAAAGTATTTAAAAATCAGATTTTAAGAAATTGTCATTTATGACTACTTTTTAAAAAGTGCTTTTTAACATGGTTTAAAAAACAGCTTCATTTAATGGCCAAAAAATTGTATTTTAGGAGATCGGACTATGCAGATTTAAATTGTATTGTATTGAAAGAAGTTTAAGAAGACTTTTTACAAAAAAAAAATTCATAAAAAATATTGGTGGTACTTTTTGGAGACTGTTTTTCGAATGTCGAATATATTCGACATTTAACTTTGACCTTCTATAACTCACTAGGGAAAACTCAAATTCAAAAAATATTATTTTTCCCGGATTCAGCATACTCAAATTATCTTAAATATAAGTTTTCAAGTTTTTTTCTAGACATAAATTATTTTTGACCCTGAAAGGGTTAATAAAACCGAAAGTATTTATGTATAAACATGGTTCAAAATATGCAAAAGATTGATGCACTCGGTACTTATATTGACAATATATTAGCAATGAGCTTGCTAGGACTTCATGTTCGAAAATTATAAAATTCGGTCTACATAGTAAAGTTTATAACTCAAACGTTTTTATGATATATTTAGTCCAGGACAGATGGACGTCTTTTGAACATTTATCAAATACAACGACATATGTATTTCGGTATCTAGTACTTATATGCAAAATCTATAGTTGTTCCAGAAGAATATGAAACTATTACGTATCTTATAGAGATCTGATATGAGTCTGGATCTGATATGAGTCATTTCATAACTGTGCAAGAGATTCTGAACAATTCTTTCATATATCGTTATATAAAGGTTTCCATAGGAAATGGTGCAACAGGCCTAATGCCTTATTGAGAACTAAAATTTTTTATACGATTGCTGGATACTTGAACAATAAAAATTTCAATGGCGTCGACCACATCTACATGAAAAGAACATTTATATGGGTCATGACGACCTATTCGGGGGGTCTGATTACATACAATATATTTAGGATATATACAATAGTGTGTAGGGTATAAAAACAACAGTAAGTTACAAAGACATAAGTTAACAGACATACATAGTCATATTTCGATGTTGTTTTTTCTATTTCCATAAAAAGTAGTAGTAACACGAAATGTATATGAAGAACTTTATCCTTTTTATCCTTTTGATAGAGTGTAAATTTATATAAATATTTATACAACATAAAACTTTTAACACATAAAGCAATACTATACAGAATCCTCTATACATACATATGTACGTATATGTACATATTTTGTCTGTGTGTTTATGAGATTTCTAAAATTTCATTTTGAGTTTTTTTTTTGGAGATTTATTCCTTTTGCAAGTTTTGTATGTTTGTGAGAGCACATTTCTATTAAAGGAGTTAAATGGTATAAAAACAAAAAAATATAAATGAAGAAAAGAAAAAACAACTTAAATAGATGGATAGAAACAAGAAAAAAGTGTCAACAATAATTTTTAATTAAGAACTTTAACGCTTGTTCACACTCTAACATAAACCAGCACACATACAAGACATCTACAAATACATAGAAAAACAAATACTTCACCTAGTAGTTGTACCAGGAGTCACGATATCCCTGTTTAAGGATATTTCTAATGGGTTTATCTCATTTAAGTAAATAGCCACTTTAGTGTACTCAAGTAATCTAGCCGGTAATTAGTCATCATTCTAAAGGCCCTCATTAATCTAAAAATTAATCTTAGACATAGCAAATGGTCCATTTATAATATTAAAAAAAATCACTAATTCAGGATAGCTACCCCGAAACGCTGGGAAACACACAGACAACTTAATTTACATAAACTTTTTCAATACAAAAATCCAAAAAAAAAAATCATTTGGAAACAAAAAAGATTGTAGGAGCAAAAACTGTAAAGAAAAAATGAAACCCCAACTAAGGAGCAACGAGGCTTAAGTAAAAGAATTATGTTCGGAAACAGAAACAGAAAAAAATACGATTGTTGAGAGATGCATAGAATGTTGAAAACACATGTACAACTACATGTCGAACACACCCACAATGCAACCAAGACATACGATTCACACCATGTTCTTCCTTTCTTTACTTTTTTTCTCACATCTCTTCTTATTTAGTTTTTTTTTCGCATACGAATACTGGCAATTTTGGTTGCATATAGTTTTATACTTCAACGACACCCTTTCACATGCACACACACACACAACACATACATTCATGTGGGTTGTATGTTGCACATACAGTTATTCAATTGTTCAAAATAGCTCGACATTACGACTAAATGAACAAAAGGAAATAAAGATGATAAGCCAACAGAAGAAAAAAAATGAAACATAAAAAAAAACCCAAAAAAGAACTCAACAAAAAAGTGAAGATTGAAGATGTAAAGAGGAGTATGTTGTACAAATTTGAGGGTCTAAAGTGCAATAACTGGGATGTAGTAAGTAACATCATACATACATGTGATAAAAACGCCTTCGTATGATGAAATTTTCTTTTGGGTTTTTTATCTTCATTTTTATTTTTGCATTAAACTAACGAAACATTCTGTTTGTTTTTCGTATATGATAAAGAAACAATACATACAAAAACTATTTTTTAAACTTGTTTTCCGCTCTGTCTTCTCCGTTTCTTTTGTTGATATCAAAAGTTAATACAAAAATTTCCTATTGTTTTCTTTTGAGTCTCACTTCAGCACCCTATAAACATACTTTTAAATGTAGTTCGACTTTACAGCTGTGTTTTTTTTATTTATTGATTCTATAATGGACTTAATCTGAAGCGTAATGTAATAATTTCTAAAGCGAAAGAAAATGGAATACTTTCGATTACCTAGATACACTAGTCTATAGACTGGTTTATAGACTAGCCTATAGACTATTCTACTGACTTGCCTATAGATTACTCTATTGACTAGCTTATACACTACTCTACTAATAGCTCACAGAATACTCGATTGACTGGCACATAGATTACACCATTGACTAGATTACACTATAGACTACTACATAGGCTTCTCTATTGACTACTCTATTGACAAACATATAGAATACTCTATTTATTAGCCTATGGTCTAGTCTACTGACTAGCTTATAGGCTAGTTTAATGATCAGCCAATACATTAGTCTATTGACCAGCCCATAGACTACTCGATTGAATAGCCGATATACTACTCTATTGACCAGCCTGTAGACTACTCTATTGAGTACTCTATTGACAAACCTATAGACTACTTTATTCATTAGCCTATAGACTAGTCTATTGACTAGCCTATAGACAAGTTTAATGATCAATAATAGATTAGTCTATTGGCCAGTCTATAGTCTATAGACTAGCCGGTAGACTGGTTTATTGACTAGCCAATAGACTACTTTATTGACCAGCCCATAGACTGGTGTATTGACTAGCCTGTAGACTACTATATTGAACAGCATATAAACTAGTCTATATACTAGTCTATTGAACAGTCTATAGACTAGCCTATATATTAGTCTATAGACTAGTCTATTGCCTAGCCTTTTGACTTGCCCATAGTCTGTTGACTAGCTTATAGACTAGTCTATAGCTAGCTTATATTGACAAACCTATAGACTACTATATTCATTAGACTAGCTCATAGTCTAGTGTAATGATCACCCAATAAGGCTACTCGATTAACTAACCCATAGACTACTCTATTGACAAACCTATAGACTACTCTATTCATTAGCCTATAGACTAGTTTAATGATCAACATAAGTCTGACCAGCCCATAGACTACTCGACAGACTAGCCTATAGACTTCTCTATTGACTAGCCTATAGACTAGTACATTGACTAGACTGTTGACTAGCCTATATACTAATCTATTGACTAGTCTATAGCTAGCTTATAGACAAGTCTTTTGACTAGCCTATAGCTAGCCTATATTGACAAACATATAGACTACACTATTCATTAGCCTATAGAAAAATCATTGACTAGCATAGACTAGTGTAATGATCAGCTAATACATAAGTTCATTGACCAGTCCATAGACTACTCTATTGAATAGCCTATAGAATACTCTATTCATTAGCCTATAGACTAGTCTATTGACTAGTCTATATATGATTAGTCTATTGGCCAGCCTATAATCTATAGACTAGTTTATTGACTATATAGACTACTCTATTGACCAGCCTATAGACTGGTATATTGACTAGCATATAGATTACTCTATTGCACAGCCTACAGACTAGCCTATATATTAGTCTATTGACTAGTTTATTGCAGCCTTTTGACTTGCCCATAGTCTATTAACTATCCTATAGACTACTCTGTTGACCAGCCTATATAATAATCTATTAACTAGCCTATATAATAATTTATTGACTATCCTATATACTAATTTATTCACCAGCATATAGACTAGTCTTTTGACCAGCCTATAGACTAGTCTTTTGATTGGCCTATAGACTAGTCTTTTGACTAGCCTGTAGACTACTGTTTTAACTAGCCTATGACTTGTTTTTTGACTAGCCTATAGATTACTCTGTAGATTAATCTATTGACCAAACTATATACTAGTCCTTTGATGGACCTGAAGACTAGTTTATATACTAGGATGTACATACAGTCTATTGACTTGCCTATAGTTAGTCTATTGAATGGTCTCGGTTATGCAATTAGAAATGATAGATTTATGTATGTATATTTAAAAATTTCCTACATTAAAAATGAACTCTAAATTTTCTTTACTTTCAGATAAAAATTTACCGATAAAAACAAGTGCAAGGATAATACATGTAACTCACAATTTAAGTAAGTAAATCCCTAAATATAATTGCAATAGAACTCATATTTATATCAACTTATTCAAATATTTAGTATAGAGTTTTTAATTAATGACTTTTACCAACCAACTGACTACAAACGTAAATTTGATGTGTAGATATGTATGTATTTCGTTTTCCTTTCAATAAACCAAAAGAAATACACAAATGTGCATGTACATATGTATGTATGCAGCTAGCAAGTTAATTTGAAAAATTTACAACATGTTGGATAACAATAGTATATTTTTAGGCAAAACTATATGACATTGCAAACGAACAAAGATGAATGTGTGCTGAATGCAACTATAGATGTGTGAAATAGTATTAAAAAGTTTCAGACACATATGAAAAAGAGAAGCGGACAGTAAAGATATAAGAAAAAAAAAAACACAAGCAGCAAGTCAAAAACAAATTTGACGAAGAAAAATTAGAAAATGAAACTAAAGAATACAAATCTAAAATAAAAAAAGAAACTGCAACACTAGTTTGTTTGCCTCAAGCATTTTGCTAAACAAACTTTTTGAAATACAACAACACAGTTACATATAGAAAAAAATCTATATCTTCTCTATCCATATCACACTCTATATTATTTGTCTGTCCAATTTCATGAAGAGCCGTTCAACATTATAACTTTGTTGTTCTTGTTGTTTTCTATTTTCTCTTTAGTTTTTTTTAACAAAAATTGTCTATGCACTAGTTTGCATGTGTGAGTATGTGGATGTAGTTATTTTTTATTTTACCATCTGTTTGATTGTATGCGGCAACTTCCGTTTCGTTTGCCTGCATTCTTGTTCTAGTTTTATTTTCTTTTTAATGTCTGTATGTATGTTTTTTTCTTTTTAAAAAATCTTTCTTTTTATGATTTTTTTTCTAGAATTTCTTTATTTTCATTTTCCATTGTAAACATTTAGTTTCCTTGGGTGCTTTTCTTAAGATTTGTGCATTTTCTTAAACAACTTGAGTGTGTGTGTGTATTTGTTCCTTTCTACTTGTACTTTCCTTAAAAGCAAGAAAATTAAGTAGAATATACAAATAGACAGACGGACAGACAGACATACAAACGAACACATACGATTATACAAAAGGCAAACAAACACACATATTAAGAGCTTCGTTGAACTAATGTTTATTATTGCCATGTGAGTTGCTTGGTGTCTTGGTATATGTATATATTTCCCAGCAAAAATATACAAAAAAAGTTGAGTAGAAAAAACTTAAATTAACTAAATAGAAAGAAGATTGTATTGTAGTTTGTAAATTAAGGACTACTTGAAAATGTTGAAAGTTAAACAAAAAGCTTAAAAGAAAAACACAAAACAAAGTAAATCAAATACCAAATGAGAATTTCCCTCGGTGTAATTATTTTACTAAAGATTTTAGATTTCTTAGTTAGAAAATAGCAGATTGTTTATCTCTTATACTTGGTTAAGTTTAATTTTTTTTAAGTTTTTCTTTAATTTGTTTAAAATTTTAGAAGTTTTAAATTATAGAATAGTTAATGAAATCTTTTAATATACTTTACCTTACGTACATGTTATATTAGCATTAATCTACCCTGAAAGTTATTCTGAATCTGCTTTTGCAAAAAAACCCTAATAAAAAAACATCACTACGTGATAAAAGACTAAAATAGATCCCAAAGATTTGGGACCACGGTGTCATTTTTGCCAAAAAGTGATCATTTTCTCGGGTACATATCTTTCGAACCGTTCGAAATTTTGATTTACTCTCTGAGGCAAAGTTGTATCCCATGTCATGAGGAATAAACATATAAAATAAAAACTTCATCTTTTCATTTCAAGTGCAGAGATTTACATTTGCACTGCTGTTATTAATGACACCTGTACGTATGAGTGTTAATGATTTATTGATCATACAAATATTAAGTATACGCCTAATTTAGAGAGGCATTTGAAATATTTTTTAAACGTAAAAAGCTATTTTTTTTAAGTTTTTTTGTGATTTTATATGTACTGGTACTGGGCCCGCATGAGCCTAATGAATGATCCAGCTTGTAATCAGGGACCTTATATATCCATCACATATTCAGCTGTCCAGTAAAGGTGCTCAAAAATAGGAATTTTTCTACAATGGGTCTCATTAGCCTAAACACATAAAGGGGAACTCGTGACGGAAATCGATTAAAAATTGTAAAATTGCGTACTTTTAAGTCACTAGTAAATATAGTAAGATCAAAACAAAACCCATACTTTTTGGGTATTTCTACTGTCCAGCCAACCCAACTTCACTTTGTCCAATGGATTTATGGATCAATCTGTAATAATAGCACAATTTTTAGGGCTGGAACTCAATGCAGAACCTCCTGATTAGAGCATTAAGTAATCGTAGCTGTTACAACCATCACGATCCGTTAAATGAGCTTTCATTGTCAATTTCATTATTCGAGCGATCTTATTCCCTATAAGCAAAACAAACTTTTGGAAATTGAAAGTCTTGACTCTCTGGTCTTGAAATTTAATTAATATCAACTTTTTTTGAGTCATAAATAGCTAAACATTTCCGTTTTTGTTATAGTTTCCACCACTTTTCGAAAGCTTTCTTCTGGGATTTTATTCAGTCATAACCATACTCTGCTGAGGATTGATTTTATGAGATCACTTATCATATCATAGAGTCTGAGAAAGAGAAAGATAAGACTTCTCTCTTTACAGTGAACATCTAAATATAAGTTTCTTACTCCTAACTATAAACAAACTGGAATTAACTGCCCTGTTCTTTTTTTGGACTTTGAAGCATATATCTAGATTGTTTTAGACACACTACAAATAGTCTCTTACTATTGAACTTAAGTAAATACTGTCCCAGAGGTAAGGTTCACATCATACGGGTACCAGCCCACTCTAGGATTACGAGCACATCTATGCAAAATTGGACGTGCCGATTCAGACGAATGTAGGGCATGTAGAGAGGCCAGTGAAACTCTGGAGTACTTTCTTTGCCACTGCCAGGCATTCGTCGAAGTTAGATCCAAGTATCTTGGAAGTGATGTTATTCCGGAAATAACATTCCTGACTAACACTGATTGGAAGATTCTTAGGAATTACGTTCAGGAAACTGAGTTTATGAACACTGAAAAATAATTCATTCAGTTCCCTTTTTTTCATGATAAGGGGCGCACAACAGGCCCCATAGTGGCATAGGTGTATTTCCTCGGATTTGATGTAGTATACATCATCCTATCAACCTACCTACTATTGAACTACCATTCATATTCCCTTAAGAGGCACGTGTTATGTCTTGCAAAATATTTCTAAAGATATAACGGATATATAATACCATTATAACCTCTCTCCATTCCTTAGGAAGGTAATTGAATCCAGGCTACGTCTAAATGTTCTTATAAGCCACTACAATGAGAACGCTGATATTCCCTATAACCAATACAAACTTGTAAGTCTTGACAGAAACAAAACTATGTATGTAGATACCAATGATCGATAACGTATTGAGATTTAATTTTTAAAGAGTTTTTGAGTCAGAAATATCAAAACAATTCCGTTTTCGTACTTTGTACAAAAGTTTTCAACGCTTTTCGCTTTGTACAAAGTCCAGTCCTAGAGATTTAAAACATGTTCCTAAGCATTTTATCAAACAGCTCGTCTATACAAATGTATTTCTATATAATTAAAAATTTAAACCTCTTTAATTTCCATCTTTAATTTAACATATAACTAAAATGTAAATGCAATTTTTGAAAACCATTGAATTACTTACTGTTCAACTCCCAGACAATTAACACTTTACCAACTGCTGGCAAATGCATTTTCTACAACAAAATTGCCTCCATAATAATTTTCTTTGCAAGAAAACTTTTAATAAATTTCATTAATTTTAATGTGATCAGAATTTTAAGCACTCCAAGAATAAATTTCTTAAGCAGAAATTCTCTAACGGCTGTTTAATCAACAACCAAACTAATTTGCATAATTAAACCGAAAAACGCTTTAGATAATTTCAAAAGAAAAACTCAAGAAAATTCAAAATTTAGTGTTTTATTAAAACCCAAAAAAAACAAACAAAAATCTTAAGTTTGCTTTAGAGTTAGAAAAGGAAGTTACGCTTAAAGTGTTGCAGTCATAAACTTAAGAACAATAGAATCAACTCCACTATATATGTTTTTTCTAATTGCAAGATAATTACGAATGAATTTATGTTTGTAATTTACAAATGGTTGCCTTTATATAAATGAGGGTTTGGGTGTGTGTGTGTATTTGCTTTAAATTAAAATCACATTTACAGTTCACTTAATATTCCTTAAGGAATATTATTATGAAAATAACAATAGGAACCAACCACTATAATGACTGCCACCACACAATGAATAAATATGCTGAAAAACACTTGATATTTTGCAACTTTACACATTCATAACGACAAACAGACGGAGGGACGGACGGAGGGAAGGACGGACGGACATATTCAGATAGATACTACAACTAAATACTATTATTATCATTATTATTAACTATTATTATTGTTCTACTACAATTACAACAATAACAACATGCACTTAGAGATACTTGTACTTAAATTTACCATAATTATCTTTTCTCAAGTGTTTGTGGAATGAAGGGAAATTTATACATACATATGTATATGTAAAGATATACACATGTGAGCAGAAATATAGGTGAACATTTTTATCATGGAATTGCTCTATACATAAGGTTTTCTCTTGTTAAAATTTAACAGAATTTTGAAACTATTTTAGACGGCAGTCTAAAATCTTTGTTGGACCATTAGAAGAATAGTTCAAAAAACATATAATTCACACTTTAATTTTAAAAACAATTAAAAAGAATACAGCTATTTTTCTCTCCACAAATGTATATATTTCTATGACCCCACAAACTACATACTTGCTACTACATACCAGCATTTAAAACTTTACTTAAATACTGCAAGCAAAAAAAAAAGTAACCGAAAACAAGACGGGAAAAAAAAAACTTTATGAAATTATACACGAAAATTCTTTTATTGTTTGGAATTCACATAATTTTTAAAGGAAACAAATCGTCTTAAATATCTGATAATTTGTTTGAAAGAATAACAATAGTTAGTTGGCCCAACTTTTACTTCTACTACTGCCTCCAACACAACTTTAGAACAAAGCAAGCAAAATTTAACACGAAAAAAAGGAAACATTTTAAATGTAGAAAAACTATACATGTATTTGTGCCTTTAACAATAATTTTACAAGAATAGCGGTTTGATAGCCTCTTAACTATGCAGGGTAATAATTTGTATTTGTCTCATTTTGATTTTTTTTTCTATGCCACCCAATACTTAGCATGAAGCATTTAGTTAGTTACATGCATAATTTGTGACTATAAAAGTCTAAAATGAGCCAAAAGGTCATGTTTGTTACAAACTATAAAGAAGACATACAAAAAAAACTGAATAAAACATGCCACTTTTTGAAATTTATTTTAGATTTTAATTAAATGTTAGTTTATAGAATTTATGAAGAGTCAAGATGTTGTCTAAAATATGGGTATGCATTACAGTTTTCACAGGAATTTGTTTTAAAGAGAATTTTTTAAGCATTTATTGGAAAGTGCAGCAGTTAGTCAAAATTCTTTATTTAGAGTTATTCAGAGTTAAGACGTATAACGACAATAATCATAAGTGATTTTGGGCCATAGAAAGTCTCAGAAAACCAATACTTTTTACCAGAAGATATAAATATCGGAATTTAAACCTATAAACTCAGTGGATGCTCTAAGCTCTAAGCTATCTCAGCCTTTAATAGATGATAATAGCAACACAATCATTGTAAATCCCAAAAGGGTAAAATAGAATATTACTAAAAATGGCTTTCTGGAGGTCAGAGGAGGCAGTTAAAGAAGATGCTTTAGTAAATCCCACGACACTTCAAAGGAAAAATCGGATGATGCGGAAAAGATCTAA